TGGGCCACAATTACTGAGCCTGCGCTCTAGAGCCCGTGAGCCTCAACTACTGAAGCCCACGTGCTTAGAGCCCGTGCTCCACAACAAGAGAAGCCACCGCAATGAGAAGTCCGCGCACCGCAACGAAGAGTAGCCCCCGCTCGCCGCAACTAGAGAAAGCCTGCGCGCAGCAACAAAGACCCAACTCAGCCAAAAATAAATTAAAAAACAAAACAAAAAACAAAACATATATATATATATCAAAGACAGTGAGGCACAGGCCCTCACAGAGTCACTAGCCAGGACAGGGAATTAGACAAATCAGCCAGTAATCTTTATTTTTTAATCCATTTCAAAGCCTTTCACAATATTTCCTAACAATGAAAATATGGAGGAGTGTGGAAGCCTCTCAGAATCAAGGAAATGAAGTCTTCTCCAACTCATAGTTTGTTTTCCCAATATTAAGAAACTTATAACCTGAGATCACAGCCATTAAAAATATTATCTACCAGCACTGTGGAGTTTCCTTTTTGTTGTTATAAACAAAACATTCACCAATACCTAAAGCCCACCTATGATGTTCTAAACATTAACACCCCTAAAAATACTTAAATCTTCCAGATAGAATACTGAATGAGGCACACCTATAATTTCAAAATAAACACAAGACCAGCATTTATTTCTTTTCAAATGAATACCCTATTTTTTTTTTTTTTTTTTTTTTTTTTGGTGGTACGCGGGCCTCTCACTGTTGTGGCCTCTCCCGTTGCGGAGCACAGGCTCCAGACGCGCAGGCTCAGCGGCCATGGCTCACGGGCCCAGCCACTCCGTGGCATGCGGGATCCTCCTGGACCAGGTCACGAACCCGTGTCCCCTGCATCGGCAGGCAGACTCTCAACCACTGCGCCACCAGGGAAGCCCTGAATACCCTATTTAATAATATTCCATTTCTATATTCTAAGCTAAGGCTTAAGGAAGTGTTTTAATGGTACAGCCTTTTTGGGTGAAACCACCTTCTTTGATACCATTTCTGTCAGATTGGCAAAGCTGTTTTTTAAGCCGATTGTTGGCAAAGATGGAGAATGGGCACCCTAAATGTAGTAAGATACACATTCTTAATTGCTGGTAAGAATGTAAGTTGCAGATACTTTCTGAAGGGCTATTTGGTAATATGCAACAAAAATCTTAAAAATGTACATACCAAATAAACAAAAAATATAATATAAATGATGATTATCTACCTAGAAAATCCCTAAGAATCCAAAATGGAGCTATTAGGACTACTAAATGAGTTTAATAAGGTCACAGGATACAAGGTCAACATACAAAAGTCAATATACTAGCAACAAACAGTTGGACATGGAAATTTTTTAAAAATACTATTACAATACTTACTTTTACCCTTGTTAAATTTCTTCTTGTTAGACTCAACATAGAGTTCCAGCCTGTCAAGACCTTTCTGGATTGGGATTGCGTCATCCATTGTATTAGTTATCCCTCTCAGCTTTGTGTTAACTGCAGGTTTGATAAACACGCACATGTGTCCTCATCCAAGTCATTTATAAAAATGTTGACAAGACCAAACTGAGGACCAAACTCTGCAGGCCACCATGGGATACCTCTATATATTTACTTAAACCCATTAAACAATACTCGTTGTCCATGATGTTCAACTGATGTACCTAATTGTTCTGTTTTCACAAGAATATTGTGAGAGACTTTTCAAGATGGCTTTTTGAAATCCAAATACCTAAAAGGCAAAAAGGGTATCAATCTGTAATGACTTGATACCTGATGATCTTGGCTTTTCTTTCTGCACGTATTTAATAAATCGAGCCAGAATTTTGGCTGGAATGGATATCAAGTTCACTGGTCTGGTTTGTGGAATCTACCCTTCTCACTTTGAAAATCAAAACAGCATTTGCCTACTTCCAGTCCTTAAGCACCACTCCTGTTTGCCAGGGATTCTCAGATTACCAGCAGCAGTACAGCCATGTCACCTGGAAAATCTCTGTTATGCTGGGGAGCAATCACATGGGTCAAGTGCCTTAAACACATTCAGAGTGGAATAGGGCTCTATAACTCACTCCTATCTTCTCATGCTGCATATAATTATATGTGAGTGAAATCTGATTCAAAGTTAAGTCCCTGAAAGATCTGCTGAATGAAAAGTTCAAATTTCCCCCCTTTCCTCCTTTAGTCCAAAGACTTTTAAAAACAATGTCAATAGTACTTTCTCACTTCTCATAACTTGTAGTTTAAGACTTGTTCTTATGGAAGTGCTATATGCTCTTTATAAATAAAATTAAATCTTTTTGATGAATATAAAATGAAAAGTAAAGGCTCCTCGTCTGCTTTCCCCCCCCAAAATATTCCAAATTCTCCTGGACTCCCCTTGCCTCTAAAGGCCCTCCCTCTCCAACTCCCTGGGAATTGTCCCGACAGTCTGCAAACCATGACAGGTTTCATTATACACCATGTTTTCTTTCCAGTAAGACTAGAAGCTCCTAAAGCTAAGATTGTCTTTTACTTCTGTGTAGCTCATGTACCAAATACAAGCATACTGCAGAAATAGAACATTTGTTTAACTGTGTGATACTCCAAAACTTATGTTAAAAGCACCAGAAGTCTTACTTTCAGCTTCATATTTAAGTGGACATTGGTTGGTTTTGTCAATCTAGCAATCATTACCTCCTCTGACCTACCCACCCATTCATTTATTTTTATTTTATTTTTTTACCACCCATTGGTTTATAAGGATCCATTCAATTATCCTGGGAAGAGAATGAGGTCCAAGTCAATCAAAGCTTCATAATCCCATAGACATGGTTCAGGGTAGGGTATGTAACCCAACCTAGACAATGAGATGCTATCAACTTGAAGCTGAAAGGATATAAAGGACCCTAGATACTGCAGCCATCTTAGGACCAAAGGAGTGATCTAACCAAGTATGGAACCAACACCCAAAAGGGCAAACCTGAGAGAGATTAGACCCTGGTGACATCATTTACTGCACATCTATTAAGTATTACTGTTACTCCATTCTTGATCTCAGAACCATGACTTCAAAGCCTTCTTCCTCCACCAAGCATACTACTAATTCATTCTGATTCCTTAAGTCTTTATCCTTATGTTCAAGGAACCTCATCAGGCATAAGAGGTAGTCTGATGAAAGGGAGAAGAGAAGGATCAGGGCTCTTAGAATAAAAAATATAAATATAAAAAGAAATACAGGGCTTCCCTGGTGGTGCAGTGGTTGAGAATCTGCCTGCTAATACAGGGGACACGGGTTCGAGCCCTGGTCTGGGAAGATCCCATATGCCACGGAGCAACTAGGCCCGTGAGCCACAACTACTGAGCCTGCGCGTCTGGAGCCTGTGCTCCGCAACAAGAGAGGCCGCGATAGTGAGAGGCCCGCGCACCGCGATGAAGAGTGGCCCCCGCTTGCCACAACTAGAGAAAGCCCTCGCACAGAAACGAAGACCCAACACAGTCAAAAATAAATAAATTAATTAAAAAAAAAGAAATACAGGGGTTTCCCTGGTGGAGCAGTGGTTAAGAATCTGCCTGCCAATGCAGGGGAAACGGGTTTGAGCCCTGGGTCCGGGAAGATCCCTCATGCCATGGAGCAACTAAGCCCGTGCGCCAACAACTACTGAGCCTGCGCTCTAGAACCCGTGAGCCACAACTACTGGGCCCACATGCCACAACTACTGAAGCCCTCACACCTATAGCCTGTGCTCTCCAACCAGACATGCCACCGCAATGAGAAGCCCGCGCACCACAAGGAAGAGTAGCCCTCACTCGCCGCAACTAGAGAAAGCCCGCGCGCAGCAACGAAGACCCAATGCAGCCAAAAATAAATAAATAAATTTATTTAAAAAGAAATATAAATATACACATTAGAGCAGACTGTGAGCGATATATTATTAACGGGCAAATGGTGATGCCATGAAAAGCTGACAGAGTGAAAAAGTGTCGGACGTTGTTTGGGTATGCAGACTGATAGAAGAAAAAAAGGTTTCACAAGAAAGGGACATCTGGCACAAACTCCTGCATTATCTGTTCACAGAAAACCTCTTGTGCTATTCTCTCTCGCTCATTATCCACAATGGCCATCCTTCTTTTCTTAAAAACTAAGTTCTTTGCTGTCTCAAAACAATTATGCTAGTCTGGGTGCTCTTTCCCCAAATCCTCTCATGACTGGTTCCTTTCTCACATTTCCGATCTCTGTTCAAATACCATCTCTTCAGAGATGCCTTTCCAGTCCAACCAACCTAACCTGTACCTTTTTCTCTTTCCATCACCTCTTATTTCCTTCAAAGCTCTTATCATCAACTGTATTTACTTAAAATGCTTAGTTTATCGACTCTTTCCACCAATAGAATGTAAGCTTCCTGAAAGCAGGGATTCCGTCTTGAACACCTCTTTTTACTTACACCCAAATACCGGCATAGAGCGATAGGTAATGCATAAATTAATATTTGTTGGAGAATGAATGGCAGAAAGTGAGAAGAGAGCTTGACAGAAAAGTCAGGCTGTTCCTAGGGAAGGCGATAGGAATGGGGCAGGAAAAGCCAGTGGGCTGGAGGCTGCACAGGAAGCTGAAGGTTTACGTCGGCGAGAGTAGGCGGTGTTGGACGAGGGCTACAGGCTTCGCCCGGTCACGCGTGGGGTGGGCGGCCGGGTTGGCAAAGGGGCATAGAACTCTTAGCGACCAACTCCTGGGCGTTCCCTTCGCGGGAACCAAACACGAGACTCTCTTCAGGCACCCCCTAGGTCCCGCCCAGCGGTCTTACGCAGCCGTCTTCCACGAAATCGCTAATCCACAGACATCAAACTTACCGCCCCGGCCCGAGCCCCTCGCGGGCAGGCGACGTGTGAGAAAAACGGCCAACCTCCGCCTGACCACGCTGAGGATCCCACACCGACCCCGCATACCGTCGCCCGCTCACTAGCCGGCTGACGCGCTTCTCCCCGCCCCCAGCCCGCCCAGCGGCCCGACTCCGGCCCTAACTTACGCTTGTCTCCGGGCTATGAGGCGATGCATGGGAGTCGCCATCTTAGCGCGGCTGAGGCCTGCCGCGCTGGGTTTTGGGAAACTCCTCGGAGGGGGCGGGGACTTAGAACCCCGGAGGCCGTAGGCGTGGGCGGGACCAGTCGGGCCTGGAGAGTTAATGGGTCAGCTTTTGGGGCAAGTAGTGGTTAGGGCCTGGTCTGTTGTGTTTCCTGTGTGCGTCTGTAGTTTGAGGGAGAGGAATGAGGCAGGTTGATCGGTCAGAATGAGGGATTTTAAGGATGGGTCCACGTATATTGCGTGGAGAGTCAGAGAAGAACATTCTCGAATGAGGGATCCATCTATCCATCTTTATATACAAATGAATTTATATATATATATAAATATAAATATAAATGAATAAAACTGCATTGTTCAGGACACTAGAAGTAGTTTGGATAGCAAAATGAAAAGGAATGAGTTCAACAAGATTGGGACCATCAATTGAAAAAGAATGACTTTAGGACTTACCTGGTGGCGCAGTGGTTGAGAGTCCACCTGCCGATGCAGGGGACACAGGTTCGTGCCCCTCTCCGGGAAGATCCCACATCCCACATGCCGCGGAGCGGCTGGGCCCGTGAGCCATGGCCGCTGAGCCTGCGCGTCTGGAGCCTGTGCTCCGCAACGGGAGAGGCCACAACAGCGAGAGGCCCGCGTACCGCAAAAAAAAAAGAAAGAAAAAGAAAAAGAATGACTTTAGCAAATTATAAAATGCAAATATATGTTGTTTATATTTTTCATAATGGTGTTATAAGGCTATATAGGTAAAACTGCTTTTTCAACTGGAAAAAGATTATACAAATATTAATTAAGGATATTTTAGTATTTAGTGTCAGTCATAGAAATTTATTCTCTTAAATCCAGTCTTTGAAATATAGATAACTTTTTTTTAACATCTTTATTGGAGTATAATTGCTTTACAATGGTGTGTCAGTTTCTGCTTTATAACAAAGTTAATCAGTTATACATATACATATATCCCCATATCTCTTCCCTCTTGCGTCTCCCTGCCTCCCACCCTCCCTATCCCACCCCTCTAGGTGGTCACAAAGCACTGAGCTGATCTCCCTGTGCCATGCGGCTGCTTCCCACTAGCTATGGGTTTTACATTTGGTGGTGTATATATGACCATGCCACTCTCTCACTTTGTCCCAGCTTTCCCTTCCCCCTCCCCGTGTCCTCAAGTCCATTCTCCAGTAGGTCTGCGTATAGATAACTTTTTGAAATATATATATGTATGTATGTTTCTGTGTCTCCATTCATTTTTTTTAATTTATGTTTTTCAATTAAAATGTTTGAGGAACTGAAGGCAGAGCATTGAACAAATAAAGTCGTTGTACACACGGAGCTTTCTACAGACAATAAACAAACGCAATGTCCAACGTGTGTGAATACTCTAAAGAAAAATAATTTAGCGTAAGGGGTAAAGAGTGATTCAGCAATGGGAGTTAGAGAAGGTGATGTCATGCAACCTTTGTGCACATCTTGTTCCTTAAAAAGTGGAATCTTACTCTCTGTTCTGTTCCTCAGCTTGCTTTGTTCATTCCTCACTGTGTTTATGGACATCTTTTCCCATATCAGCACATGCAGATCCAATTCATTCTTTTCATGTATTATGTTATATGGATTACATGGATATTCCACAATTTATCCAACCAGTATCCTGTTGTTGAACAATTACATCATTTAACACAAAGATGGAATGAACAGATTTTTAAGCACTCACCCATGTTTCTGTAACTTGACTTCCTAGAAGTAAAAGTGCTGGGTCAAAGGATATGTGTATTTTAAATTTTGATAGATTATACATTTTGCTCTTTTTAAAAAAATATTTATTTAGGCTGCCCCGGTCTTAGATGCTGCATGCAGGATATTTTAGATGCAGCACATGGACGCTTAGTTGCAACACGCGGACTTCCTAGTTGCAGCATGCATGTGGGATCTAGTTCCCTGACCAGGGATCGAACTCAGGTCCCCTGCATTGGGAGTGCAGAGTCTTAGCCACTGGACCACCAGGGAAGTCCCTATGGCTATATATATATATTTTTGTTTGTTTGTTTGTTTGTTTGTTTTGCGGTTCACGGGCCTCTCACTGTTGTGGCCTCTCCCGTTGTGGAGCATAGGCTCTGGACGTGCAGGCTCAGTGGCCATGGCTCACGGGCCCAGCCACTCCGCAGTATGTGGGATCTTCCCGGACCGGGGCACGAACCTGTGTCCCCTGCATCGGCAGGCAGACTCTCTACCACTGCGCCACCAGGGAAGCCCTATCACTTCTTTATTGACTTGAAATGCCACTCCTTCATAACTAAATATGTACAAATTTAATTTGTTTGGACATTCTGTTTTCTTCCAAAGATCTGTTTGTGCCAGAATTTGTACTGCTTTAATTTCCATAATTTTATAGAATATTTAGATATCTGGTAGGGCAAGTCCCTCCTAAATATTCTTCTTTTCCTCAGTTTTCTTTATTGCTCCTAGGTATTTATTTTTCTAGATGAACTTTATTCACAAACTTTCAAGTTTTCCACAAAACGATATTAAGATGTATTTGTCAGGTAACTTTAAAAAAAAAAAATTTTTTTTTTTTTTTGGTCACACTGTGCAGCTTGCAGGATCTTAGTTCCCTGAACTGGGATCAAACCCTGGCCCTTGGCATTGAAAGCGCAGAGTTTCTGGACCGCCAGGGAATTCCCATTTGTCAGCTAACTTTAAAAGAAATTGCACTGCAGGGACTTCCCTGGTGGTCCAGTGGTTAAGACTCCCCACTCCCAATGCAGGGGGCCCAGGTTCAACCCCAGGTTGGGGAACTAAGATCCCACATACCGCAACTAAGCACGCATGCCGCAACTACTGAGCCCTTGCACTCTAGAGCCCATGCACCACAACTAGAGAAGCCCTAGGGCTGCAATGAAGAGCCCTCGTGCCACAGTGAAGACCCACAGCAGCTAAAATAATTAATTAATTAATTTTAAAAAAAGGAAACAAATGGCTCAGGAAGAGCTTTAAAAAAAAAAAGAAAGAAATTGCACTACAGCAAATGTAAAATGGCAAGAGACAGAATAAGATATAAGAAATAGAGAGGAGGAAGCAAATGACATTTTTTGTGGTGATTTGGTTTGCACACCTGGAAAACCTACAAGAGTTAACTGAAAGCATCTAGATACAGGGGCCAGATACACACACACACACACAATACAATAATGTTTTGCTTTTTCAGGACTTCCCTGGTGGTCCAGTGGTTAAGAATCTGCCTTCCAATGCAGGGGACAAGGGTTCAATCCCTGGTCAGGGAACTAAGATCCCACATGCAGGGCAACTAATCCCATGCGCCGCAAGTAAGACCCGACACAGCCAAAAAAAAAAAAAAAAATCTTTTTTTTCAACGGCAAGACCAAGCCAATGTAGCTCTTTCCCATTGAGGCCCATGGACTTGAGGGACTCACAACTTTGTCCAGAGGGCCCAGGCTAAAATTCAGACACTAAGTACTGTAAACCTTAATGGGTAGAAGCTGAGAAAAATTTAAAATTCTTGTGAAAGTTGCAAGTAATTTCTAGCTGGCAAAAATGAACACTTTAGGAGGGAAGGGGGGAAGGGCAAGATAGAGGTAGGGGATTAAGAGGCACAAACTATTAGGTTTGCTACAAGGATATATTGTACGGGACTTCCCTAGTGGTCCAGTGGTTAAGAATCCACCTGCCAATGCAGGGGACATGGGTTCGATCCCTAGTCTGGAAAGATCCCACATGCCTCGGAGCAACGAAGCCCGTGCACCACAACTATTGAGGTTGCGTGCTGCAACTACTGAAGCCCGCGCCTAGGGCCCGTGCTCCACAACAACAGAAGCCACCACAATAAGAAGCCTGTGCACTGCAACGAAGAGTAGCCCCCACTCGCCACAACTAGAGAAAGCCCGCGTGCAGCAACGAAGACACAACGCAGCCAAAAAAAAAAGGATATATTGTACAACAGGAGGAATATAGAAAATACTTTATAATAAGTATAAATGGAATATAACCTTCAAAATTTGTGAATCACTATACTGTACACCTGTAACATATAATATTGTATATCAACTATACGTCAATTAAAAAAAAGGAAAAAAATGAACACTACTAAGACTTAAGCAGACTATCCTTTTATCCTAGGAAAGCTTCCACCAAGTGTCTTATAGTTATGTAAGATGTGGGGGGAAAGGGGGGTTGGGATGAATTGGGAGATTGGGATTGACACATATACACTAATATGTATAGAACAGATAACTGATAAGAACCTGCTGTATAGCACAGGGAACTCTACTTCACATCACTGAACAGTAGAAACTAACACAACATTGTAAAACAACTATACCCCAATAAAAAAAAAATTAAAAAACAAAAAAAAGAAAAGGAAACTGAAATTGAAGGACTGGTTTTGAGAATTAAACCTTACCTCAGCTAATGATTTTAATTGACACTATGCTGCTGTGAAACAAAGTTGGATTTATTTCATAACTCAATGTTAGAAAACAGTAGGAGACATAGACAAAAGGCACATTTTATTATGTGGTATTTATTTTCCATGATACATTCATTTTGGGACAATACACTTTTTTAAAGCTTTATTGAGGTTTGGTATACAATAACTTGCATATATTTATAGTGTATGAAGATGAGATTTGATATTTATAAAATATTTTATATATTATAAGCTTTTTATAAGGCTGAAATCATCACCACAATCATGATCATGAACATATCTATCACCACCAAAAGTTTCTTAATGCAACACTGTAATTCCTGATTACCACCCCTCTGTCACCATCCTTCAGAAACCACTGATCAGCTTTTTGTCACTGTAGATACTTTGCAATGGGTTAAAATTTATATGAATGGAATAATACAGTGTTCTTTTTAACAATGCTTTTTTCACTCAATCATATTGAGATCCACCCAAGTTATTACAATTATAGATAGTTTAATTCTTTTTTTTTTTTCTGTGGTACGCGTGCCTCTCACTGTTGTGGTCTCCCCTGTTGCGGAGCACGGGCTCCGGACGCGCAGGCTCAGCAGCCATGGCTCACGGGCCTAGCCGCTCCGCGGCATGTGGTATCTTCCTGGACCGGGGCACAAACCCGTGTTCCCTGCATTGGCAGGCGGACTCCCAACCACTGCGCCACCAGGGAAGCCCCAATAGTTTAATTCTTAATGCTAACTTGTACTCAACTTTATTGCTATTCGACAACTTGCTTATCCATTAACTTGTTGATGTGCCATAGAGCATGCCCAGTTGTTGGTTGTTATAAATAAAGCTATGAACTTTTGACTAAAAAAAAAAAAAAAGATGTGGGGGAAAGGTGGATGTAAAAGGATGGATGTGCTGGAGGGAGATTTGCATCTCTGAACTGGGTTGCTTTTGGTCAGGATGGTTGTTTCCTGCCCTGACCCTGACTGGTTCATGAGCATCTGTGGTTAGAGAGCTGAGCACAGAACATAGCTTGCCACCTCATGAGCAGGGAAACGATACACTCCACAGGGACCTGTGCTTAGAAAAGTCCCACACTTGGCTTAATGCTTTGCTATTGCTGTCTTGAAATTCTTAATAACTTTTGAACAGGGAGTCTCACATTTTAATTTTGTACTGGGCCCTATATATTATGTAGCTGATCCTGTTACCAAGTCCAAGCTCACTCTGCTCGCCGCACGGCATGCCAATAAATCGGGAGATGAGGTGTTGAGGCAAGGAACAGTGACTGTATTCGGAAAGCCGGCACACCAAGAATACTGCAGACTAGGGTCTCCCCAAAACCATCTTATCGGGGTCTGGATGCCAGTTTCTTTTATAGAACAGAGAGGGGGAGGAGGTGAGGAAGTAAAGTAAAAAGGTAATGCATTAGTTTTATCTGGCTTGGCCATCATCGAGAAGGGGATGTGTTAATTTCTTCTTTTCTGCAGCCATTCACAGGTGGGCAGGGTCAGATTGTCTCCCTGTGACCTGAACAAAGGCACTTTAACATTCAGGCAGAGGGGCAGGGTTCCCTGTGGCAGGTCATTATGTATGATTATAATAACAAAAGCAACAGAGAGCAAAGGTTACAGTCAAAGAAACAGATCCAACATGGAGTCCGATTTAGTTCTTCCCTGTTACAATCCTGCACCAGAAGTTGGTGAATGTGTTTTCATAAGAATGTGAGACTAACCACAATGGAAACTAGCTCCACCAGCATCAGGAAGAGGGGAGAGAACAGATCCACCAACTTTAAAGGTTTTTGCCCTTTCATTATGTTTTACAACTAGTTATTGCAACTATTCAGGAAAAAGTGCTGTAAAATTGGACCCTGGTGCAAAATCAAATGTGGGTTCTTCCTTCATATGCCTTTGCGTACCACAAAAAGAGCTCTTCTCCTTCCAGTAGGATAAGAGAATTTGACTAACTTGGTTAAGTAAGGGAGAGGTTCAGAGCAGGGAGACCATTTGTTTTGTAAAGGGGAGTGGCCATGCAAGGGGACTGGTGGAAAGCCATTCGGGCCTCTGTGGATATGAGGCTCTGGTTCTCCAAATGAAAAAAAGGATGGCCCTTCCATCCACCTCTGGGCTTGTGGGTGAGAGTGGTGCCTAAAGCTCCCTGGAGTGGGCTAAGAGCTGCCTTCCTCAATTATTTCCACTTTCCAAGGGGGCTTGAAAACTAAATACTCAAAAATTGTATCGTATTCTCTCATCTTCATACACAGCTGCTCGGGTCCTTGGGCCTTGATGACATGCCTTGCTGTGATATAAAGCTGTGTGCTTTTGAGTCCAGGATTTGCTGGTTTAGGAGAAACGGAAGTTGACATGCTGAGAGAAGTAGAGAAGAGAGACAGAAAGACCTACCTAGACTTGATTGCCTTTTCCTTTGATTCTTTGGGTTATCACAGCCTTCCTTCAGTAAATCTCTTTTGTGATTAAGATGGTTCAAGTCAAGTTTCTGTGCCTTGCCCCCAGAGGATCCCCGTTTTACAAATTAAGGGACTGAGACTCAGACCTCTTTGTTAAGTGATTTATCCAAGGCCCACTGCCCTGAGCTTTTTCCATTATACAACTCTCCTTCCCCTCTAGCCAGTTTTGTTTATAGTCAGCCCTCCTTATCTGCAGGTTGGGTATCTATGGATTCAATCAACCATAGAATGAAAATATTTGGGGAAAAAATTCCAGAAAGTTCCAAAAAGCAAAACTTGAATTTGCACTGGCAACTGTTTACATAGTATTTACATGTATTTACAATGTATATTTATATAGCATTTACATTTATATAAATGTATAAATGCATAAATTTATACATTTATAATGTATAAATGTATAAATTTATATAAATGTATATATTTATATAGCATTTACATTGTATTAGGTATTACAAATAATCTACGAATGATTTAAAGTACACAGGAGGATGTGTGTAGGTTTTATGCAAATACTGCACTGGTTTGTATAAGGAACTTGAGCATCCACGGATTTTTCGGGGGCGTTGGAAAGTGTCCTGGAACCAAGCCCCTGAGGATACTGAGGAATGACTGTATTTTGCGATAATATAGAATGAATGCCCTTATATATTTTAGGATTCAATTGCAAGAAACACAAAACAAAACTTTGGCTAAATAAACAAAGACTTTATTAGTAGTTTATTGGCTGGCTCATAATTTAGAAAGAGGAAGTACAGCCTTGAGAAGGCCTTGAACCAGAAAAGTCCAGATCTTAGTCATAGGAGCTTGTGTGCTACCTTTTTAGGCAATTGCCAGCAGATGATCAGGTCCAACCCCCTGTGGTACCTGTGTGCCTCATTTCAACAGTGAAGTTCCATTGTAGGAGTTTGCTTGGCTTCTTAGTGAGATGTGCCCATCCCTCTGGTAGGGGGTGGGATCCCACAGTTAGCAAGCCACCAGAATGAAGAAGATCAGAGGAATACTTTAAGGAATGAATGCTGAGCAGAAAAAACAAAAGCTGTACATTATATCCTATAACAGGACCTCTTCATAAGATATTTCCATGTAAAATTTTTCACAAGTAGACAACAGTGGGAGAGGTAACGTGTTTTACAAAGGCCTACAGGTGGCCAAACATTTAGAAATGTCATATAGGCACTTCCCTGGTGGTCCAGTGGGTAAGACTCCGTGCTCCCAGGTCCGGGTTCGACCCCTGGTTGGGGAACTAGATCCTGCATGCATGCCACAACTAAGAGCTCACATGTCACAATTAAAAGATCCTGTGTGGGGAGATCAGCTTGGTGCTTTGTGACCACCTAGAGGGGTGGGATAGGGAGGGTGGGAGGGAGAGAGATGCAAGAGGGAAGAGATATGGGAACGTATGTATATGGATGACTGATTCACTTTGTTATAAAGCAGAGACTAACACACCATTGTAAAGCAATTATACTGTAATAAAGATGTTAAAAAAAAAAAAGGTCCTGTGTGCTACAACTAAGACCCAGAGCAGCAAATATAAATAAATAAATATTTAAATATTTTTTAAAAATAGAAATGTCATATAGCAAAAACAAAGGAAAAAAAAAAACAAAAAAAACACAAAGGAAACTAGCTGAAATGAAAATACCCATCTCAGCTCTCTTTCTCTCTCCCTTTTCTGGTGAGGAGGATATAAACTTCTGTGCTCTAAATCCAAACATTTTAATTGCAAGGTCAGATATATGATGGTTGATTTATTAAAGTTCATGTGAAATTTGGAATGATGATCTAATATTTCTTCCAGACATACCCTCATTCATCGAATGTCTCTGGTCGCCTACCCCCTCTAGTGTACCTTTTCTGCGACGTGGGTCCTGAGGCAAAAATGACTTTATCCCGGTTTGAGCTCGAGTCTTGAAACCACACCCCTCCTGCCTTTATTAAAACACAAATGATCCATTTTCATTACGGAAAAACTTAAAATAGAGATTTAGAAAACAATGCATGTTACTTTCCACTATCTACGTATAGAGATGTTTGAGGTTTTCTTTTTTAAAAAAAAAAAATTATTTATTTATTTTTGGCTGTGTTGGGTCTTTGTTGCTGTGTGCAGGCTTTCTCTAGTGGCAGCGAGCGGGGGCTACTCTTTGTTGCGATGCGTGGGCCCGTGGGCTCCAGTAATTGCAGCTCGTGAGCTGTAGAGCACAGGCTCAGTAGTTGTGGCACACAGGCTTAGCCACTCTGCGGCATGTGGGATCTTCCTGGACCAGGGCTCGAACCCGTGTCCCCTGCATTGGCAGGCAGATTCTTAACCACTGCACCACCAGGGAAGTCCCACAACTGAAACTTAACTAATTCTAACACATTTTAAAATATCATGGACAATGTTTCTCGAGAATTTTATTTATTTATTTATTTAGCTGTGTCGGGTCTTAACTGCAGCATGTGGGATTTAGTTGATGTGGCATGCAAACTCTTAGTTGTGGCAGAATTATTTCTAGACAGAATTGTTTCTTAAGTTTTTGACTTTTAAAGAAAAGTTTTACTTCTGGTAAATGTAAAAAATATGGAAAAACACAGAATTTACTTTTAGGTCCTTATGTGTACATAGATTAAACATTTGTAAAAATTTAGTATTGTCTTTGAATGTATATCTTAAGGTTTAAAAAATATGAAGTGAGTAATATTTTACCATACCAAACACTCCTTTCTGTGATAGATAAAACAACTGATAAAAGCTTTTTAAATTTTTTTCCACGTTACTAGTGCTACTAGTGAAAAAACCCAAGTTGGCCAAAATACTTAAAAATAAATACCTCTAAATCATTTTTCATTAGAATGCTAATCAGAAAAATACTAAATCAAGATTCAGTTTATGTGGTGTCTAAAGCAAAACAGAAAATAGTAATTACATTTTTTTTAATGAATAAGAGCGGCAAGATAGCCTCTTTCTAAAAAAAGCAGGTACATCCTAAGAGCACTTAAATTTTTTGTGAGAAGCACTTTATATAGTGCTTCAAGTTCAAGACGGCTCTGGAGTTGTCAACAGATCCTTTTCTTGTACTTGCTATGGGTAAATTTGCTATAAAGATTTTCTTTTTGCACCATCTGGTTTTTAGCCATCTTTTGAGAATTTGGAAAATTTGAATCAACTCCAGACATTGTTAAGAGTTGCTTCAAATTTCCAAGTATTACCAGCATTTGTGAATCTTCTCCATTTTAGGTATTATACACCTTTCCATTCATTACATGTTGAACCAGGATTATTTTTGTGACAAAACATTTATGCCCTGTCTCTGCATTTTAAAAATTCTAACTGTTGGGAGTTCCCTGTGGTCTAGTGGTTAGGATTCAGCGCTTTCACTGCCATGGCCTGGGTTCAATCCTGCAAGGTACATGTCATGGTCAAACAAACAAACAAATAAAAAAACTAACTATTCTGTTTCTTTTCCATTTTCTTCAGTGAAGTTTCATGAATCCATTTAAAAATAGATGTCATGAAGGACTTTTTTTGGGAGGTATAATTGACACGTATTACTTTCAGGTGTACAACATAATGACTTGTATTTTTATATAGTACTAAATGATCACCCCAGTAAGTCTGTTTAGCATCCATATGAAGGGCTTTTTATCATTGCTAAATCCTCAAAGTGAATTTTTTTTTTCCTTTTTGGCTGCGCTGCGCAGCTTGTGGGATCTCAGTTCCCCGACCACAGATTGAACCCGGGCAACAGCAGTGAAAGCCTGAAATCCTAACCACTAGGCCTCCAGGGAACTCCCTCAAAGTGAATTTTAATCCCAATAATTTTTACATGAAGATACTTATTGCATTTAGAAAGTGGGGCTGTTTTTAAATTATATCTCTGATTTTCTTCTTTTTTAAAAAAATTATTTTATTTTTGGCTGCATTGGGTCTTCGTTGCTGCGCGAGGGCTTTCTCTAGTTGCAGCGAGTGGGGGCTGCTCTTCGTTGCGGTGCACGGGCTTCTCATTGCGGTGGCTTCTCTTGTTGCGGAGCACGGGCTCTAGGCACGCAGGCTTCAGTAGTTGTGGCTCGCGGGCTTCAGTAATTGTGGCGCTTGGGGTTAGTTGCTCCGTGGCATATGGGATCTTCCTGCACCAGGGATCGAACCCACGTCCCCTGCATTGGCAGGCAGATTCTTAACCACTGCGACACCAGGGAAGTCCCTTCATTCTGTTTTCGACAACTTTTTTCAGAGTACTTGGCACTTCTCCCATTCTCCCTCAAAGCCCAATTTGCCTTAATGTGGGCTAGAGGTCACAGAAATCCCTGCTCCCACCATCTAAGAGCTTTAAGGCTTGAAGGTATATGAATCAGTATGGTAAGAAAATAGACCATTGTAATAAAGTTCCAGGGAAATTTGATTCCAAAGAAGCAAATATAGACTAGAAGTCTTAGAATCTAAAGAACATCCGCGAGTTTTGAAATTCCTCACTGCTCCATTTCACCAGGCCAACTGCAGAAAAAGCACAGAAGCCCCATCCTGTGAAGGATCAGGATTCTAACTTGTATTGATAGTTAGCCAGATTTAATTTAATCACAGGTTATTTAATCACGCTGCTATTGGTGAAATCTTTTGTGGTTTCCTTCTTTTTCCCTGCCATTAAAATCGTAACCCAGTTGTCACCTAGAGGCTTCAGTGCACTTAGAGAATTGGGTAAACCTGGCTTTGATATCCAGGGTCTGGGGTAATTCAAAGACTACTCTACTCTTCTAGCGGTTTAATTCCTCTTAGGTTCCTGCCCCAGGTCACACCTGGTTACGAAGTTGCATTCCCCTTTCATGTGCCCACCAGAAATCCCATCACACCAAGTGGCTCATGATTTTACTGAAGATTTATGGGCTGCTGTAAAGGGTGGTCACATTGTAGATGACATGACCACTCTCTCTCTCTGTGGCAATCAATGACCTCTCTCATTTCTTCTCAGATCCAGTTCCTTCTGCCCTTCCAAACTCCCACAGTCCCTACACATTACCTTGTGAAGCTCTCTGGAAAGTGAAGTATAGTAAATGCCCTCCCCTATATATATAATGTTTATTTCAAAGCCCACCCAGGACTATCTGGATTCCTCAGTGCTCTAGGATTCTGGGACAACATCTTCTTCCACTGCATCAACACTGTGAGACATGTGTGGGGTGCCTTTCCAGCTCATGATGACACAGTCTTCTGAGACTGGGATTAGTGACCCTGTATTCTCAGGTATACCTGACTGAACCAGTTTGACTGAGCCAAGCTGGACCATTACCTGGGAATTTTATAATAGAACTGAAGGTCTTCAGTTTTCATCTCTGCATAGGGCTGGACTTGAAACATGTACATTCGGAGCTGACAGGCAGCCAGTACATGAAGAGAGAGAAATTGGGTCTACAGAGAAAGAAGTATATTAAGATACTTTTAGCTTCAAATAATAGAAATCTGGAATCAAAAGGTTTTATACTTGCCTGAGTGTGTCTGTAAGGTTCTCTGTTGACTGTCCCTGTTTCTCTAGTCTATGCTGATGGGTCTCTGTGCTAATACCCACTGTGTGGCACATGTCCAGGATAGATGTCCTTGGAGGACCCCTCTGGGCCTCCTACTCCATAGTTCCCTGATGAGGGGATCCCAGCTCCAGCTTGACCATTCCTTCTCAACTGCTGCCTCCTGTTGCAAGGGTCTCTCCCAGCCAGCAGCTTCTTGGGTAGGGTCTGGTGAAACAGTTCAAGTTCAGCCACCTCTTCTAACGTGCGGTAGATCCAGGGGGAATACTTATTTCCTTGTCACACCATATTACTTTCCTCTCTTGGTCCCTTCATATAGCTTGCTGTCTTCAGTTTTCTTTTCTTTTGTTCATATTTGCCCCTCCTTTGTTCAAAGGGGGAAACTGGCTAGCATGCTGCCTCAGCAAATGGCCAACTAAGGCATGGAATGGAGGTCTCCCCTCCATTCCATGGAGGTCTCCCCTCCACTCCATGTACCTCTCTCCAGTCTTTACAAGAGCCTCCCTTCTCATTTGTTTTCCCTGGAGAGAGAGCACCTTCTGCCTCTCTCCTGCTGGGAAGAGAAAATCCCTCCTCATCATGAAGTAATTCTGCACTCCCCGCAAAGCAAATCACCAAGTGCCCTTCACTCCTCCTCACTTCTACAGAGACCTGGAAGGGTGGGGTGGTTGGAGTAGGGAGGAGGCTGGTAATGTCTAGCCTGTTTCTGCTTAGTCTCTTGGGGAGTTGCCTGGCTCCAATTACTGGCAATTTTCTTAAGGGTGTAGGTTAGTTTTCACTTCTTTGTTCTCACCTGTGGGCCCTAATCACCAATTCTGGGACAACTGGGAAAAATCTCACACAATATCCTATTAGAGCAACAACAGTAACGACCACCTCTAATATTTCTTGAGCATATGCTCTGTGTCAGGTAATGTACATTTTATAATAACTGTCTTATTTATGTGTCACATCAATCTCATGAGGTAGGTCCTATTATTTCCCCCATTTTGTAGGTGAGGAAACTGAGGCTTGTAGACTATAAGCCACTTGGAACTGGTATTCAAGCCCAGGCTGTAGGGTTAAGTAGTCTACTATACTCCCTCTCTTGTATTCACAGGGGAAGTATGCTTGCCCATCATTTTGTAAGGATATATTCCTTGCAGTAGAACTCTTGTCACAGAGTATGCACACTTTTCCCAAAATGCTCTCTAGAACGACAGAACCAGATCATATTTTCCCTGATACCTTTGCCAGTAAGGTGTATTGCAGTTTGTTTTATATCATAGTTTTTCCAATATGCTATAAAGAATAGAATTTCACTGTTGTTTTAATTAACATTTTAAAAAATCCCAGGTGAAGTTGAACATTTTATGTTTATTTGTCATTTGTACTTATTCTTTCTTTTAAACCATTTTATTTTATTTATTTGGCTGCACCATGTGGCTTGTGGGACCTTATGTATTATTATTTAGTGAACTTTGTTTTCTAATCTTTGGTCCATTTTTTATGATTGACTTACGACAAGTATGTATATATAAAGAATATTTGATGTCACATACCTTTTTTAAAAAAAATATTTATTTTGACTGCACTGAATCTTAGCTGTGGCACGTGGGATCTTTAATGTGGCATGCAGGATCTTTTAGTTGTGGCATGCAGGCTCATAGTTGCAGCATGCGGGATTCTTAGTTGCAGCATGCATGTGGGATCTAGTTCCCCGACCAGGGATTGAACCTGGGCCCCCTGCATTGGGAGTGCAGAGTCTTACCCACTGGACCACCAGGGAAGTCCCTGATGTCACATACCTTAAGGATATTTCTTCCCAAGTTGTTGTCAAAGAATAAAATTTTTTAATGTGGGAAAGTATACAAAACATAAAATTCATCATTTTAACCATTTTTAGGTATACAATTGAATGGCATTAAGTATATTCACAATGTCAGGCAATCATTACCACTATCCATTTCCAGAACATTTTTTATCATCCTTAACAGAAACTGTGTACCTAGGAATTCCCTGGCAGTCCAATGGTTAGGACTCGGTGCTTTCACTGCCGAGGGCGCAGGTTCAATCGCTGATCAGGGAATTAAGATCCAGCAAGCCGGGACTTCCCTGGTGGCACAGTGCTTAAGAATCCACCTGCCAATGCAGGGGACACAGGTCCGAACCCTGGTCTGGGAAGATCCCACACGCTGTGGAGCAACTAAGCCTGTGCTCTAGAGTCTCTGCTCTAGAGCCCGTGAGCCACAACTGCTGAGCCCACATGCTACAACTACTGAAGCCCACGTGCCTAAAGCCCGTGCTTGCAACAAGAGAAGCCACCGCAATGAGAAGCCTGTGCACCACAAGGAAGAGTAGCCCCCGCTCACCACAACTAGAGAAAGCCCCCGCGCAGCAATGAAGACCCAACACAGCCAAAAATAAATAAATAAATTCATTAAAAAAAAAAAAAGATCAAGCAAGCCTCACCGGCGCGGCCGAAAACAAGCAAACAAAAACAACAGAGAGCTTCCCTGGTGGCACAGTAGTTGAGAGTCTGCCTGCCGATGTGGGGGACGCGGGTTTGGGCCCCGGTCCAGGAGGATCCCATATGCTGCAGAGCAACCGGGCCCGTGAGCCACAACTGCTGAGCCTGCGCGTCTGGAGCCTGTGCTCCACAACAAGGGAGTCCGTGATAGTGACAGGCCCGTGCACCGTGATGAGGAGTGGCCCCCACTTGCCACAGCTGGGGAGAGCCCTCGCGCAGAAACGAAGACCCAACACAGCAAAAATAAATAAATTAATTAAAAAACTCCTACCCCCAACATCTTCTAAAAAAAAGAAAACAACAGAAAAACGCTACCCCCCCAAAAAAAAACCCCAAGCTGTGTACCCATTAAAAAATAACTCTGATTCACCCTTTCCCACAGCCTATGGTAACCTCCATTCTATGTTCTATGAATTTGCTTATTCTAGGTACCTCATATATGAGGAAGTCATACATTTGTCCTTTTGTGACTGGCTTATTTCAATTAGGATAATGCTCTCAAGGTTTATTCATATTGTACCATATATCAGAATTTCATCCCTTTTTTATAGCTGAATAGTATTCCATTGCATGTGTATACCACATTTTGTTTATCCATTCATCTGTTGGTGCACACTTAGCTTGTTTCCACACTTCGGCTATTGTGAATAATGCTGCTGTAAACATTGGTGTATGTGTATCTGTTTGAGTCTTTGTTTACAATTCTTTTAGGTTTATACCTAGGAATGGAATTGTTGGATCATATGGTAATTCTATGTTTAACTTTTTCAGGACAAAGTATATAATTTTTAAAAAGTTAAAAACATACAAATATATATAGTGAGGCTATGTCAGTGATTTATTTACCTCAGTGAGGAGACCAGCAGGAGAGTAAAGATCATTCAATGGAGAACTCAAGATCCTGAAGTGAAAGAAACAATGCTGAAATTAGATTGCTAAGTTAAATACAAAAGCTGTTATTGTTCTACAGGGCAATAAAAGCATAATCTTTGGGAGTATCTTTTCTACCAGATAGAAATCATTTGCATCTCTCCCAAACAAATACCATTTGTGATATCAATCTTCTACAATCTTTTACAAGTTAACTAAGTTAGCTAATTTTACAGTCTGGCGGTAATCTTTTTGAACTTTGTATTTATTGCTTTTCATTTTGTTTACGGTCTTTTCTGCATTCATTTTTCTATCTTTGCTTTTACTGTTTTTGTCTTTTGTTGTTGTCCTTACAAAAGATCATTATGTGTGTGTGTGGTTGCATAAATATATATAATGTATATATTCACCTTTATTTTCTGGTAATCATATGTTTTTATTTTATTTATTTATTTTTTAACATCTTTATTGGGGTATAATTGCTTTACAATGGTGTGTTAGTTTCTGCTTTATAACAAAGTGAATCAGTCATACATAAACATATGTTCCCATATGTCTATGTTTTTATTTTTGAAACTTAATTTGTAAACCTTTAAGTATTTGACTTATCAGGAATATATTCTTGCATACGGTTTGAGGTAGGGATCTAAAATTTTTTTCCCAAATGGTTAGCTAATATCCCAACACCACCTCTCCCTCACTAGTGTGAAATGCCAAGTATCATATACTGGATTCTCATACTTGGATATGTTTCTGGAATTTTATTTCTGTTTGTCCTTGTCTTTTCTGGTACCAGTATCACAGCTGTAATTATTACTGCTTCATTACACTGTGTTGCCTCTTATAGAGGGAACAGAATGTCTCTGCTACCAGCAACCACGCCTTTAGTCAAAGGGAGCTACTTCTCACAGAGGCAGGGCAAGTGCCCAGCCTTGCTTCACAAGCACCAGCAGCTCTCAAATATTTCAGTGCTTTAGGAAATTCCACTGAAAATTCTAGAGAAAGTAACCCACCTAAGGGATCTGAAAGTAAAGGCTGAGTGCTATGTGTGTGTGATTGAGAGGTGGGGGGCAGGGGGTGGAGTGAGGAGCTCATTCATGAACTTCCTCTCAACCACGTAGTTTTACTTTCTGTTTGTTTACATGGAGATGCCAGATTGTCACTGTGTCCTCTCTGCTTTAGAAGGGGATTTTACTTTTAGAGAAGAAGCCCTAAGAAAGAACATGAGAGAAGCCCTAATGGAGGCATTTTTGTCACTCTACTGACACTCTAAATGACTGGAAGAGATCTTTTAGTGTGATGGGGCCTTCTTGGGGCCCTGGATCTCATCTCATTTAGGAGTAAGATGACATGAGAAAGACGAATATACTACGCTTTCCTGACTTCTCAAAACAAGTGCTAGTACTATTGCAATAAAAAAAGATATCCCAAGCTCTGTTCACTGGCACAAACTACTGAATCAAGTAAGGATATTCAGCTGGGATCTTTTCATTGCTCTTTTCAAAAATAACTCTTGCCTTCAGTGGAAATGGCACAAAATATGGCCATATTTAATAGACTAAATAGTATTCTTAAAGGGCCAGTCATCCATTTCTGAAGAATGACTTATTAACCTCATTTCTACTCTTTGCTGAGTGCCTTATTCTTTCAAAGCATTTCAAGAATACATAAAGTTCTTATCATGCTTTTTGTTTCACAGTATCTCCATAGTGGAAGTTTCTTCCCGCTACCTTTTTCAGGCTTGTCTTTGTCTTGTCTGGAAGAGAAACTGATGCTTCCAGTGAGCTCAAGTCATCCCCTCTGTTGTTTCAGCCTGCTGTAGCTGTCGCTGCTGCCTTTGGCCATGGGGATGGATTCCTGTGCCACTGCCAGGAAAACATGTTAGTCACTCTCCTCTGAGTTAGAGCTTGCACTGCTGGCGTTCAAGTGTCAAACTGTAATCGTCTGTGATATATTTAGATTTTGAACTCACTTTGCATTTGAACATTAACTACATGTCCACAAGAAAATAAATGGTCCTCCTGTGGTTGTGACGCCATGCCTGGGCAGAGTGCCACATGAAATTTTTCATAGTAACACTGATTCTTTATCAAATTACACATATTCATACCCCAGATTCCTCTTTAATCAGGAAACCTGAAAAGTGAATTATTATCTGAGGCCACAGGGCCTTTTAAAATCATTGTCCTTGAGTCTTAGAGCAAGAAGCAAAGAGCATTCTGTCCTGAGACAAAGAAGCTGTATTTAGCTGAAGGGAAACCAGCACAGGATACACTGAGTCCTGATGAATTTGACACTTTAAACAAAAGATGGTAAAAGAGTTTTGTAATTTGCAGACATGAGATGGCAGGATAGCTCCCTGGGGGGGTCCCTCTGTACTCAGGAACAGGACAAGCCAGAGCAAAGCCCAGCCTAGCAGGTGAGTCTGAGCAGGTGAGAGTCACGTTTCTGGTCTCAGCAGACCAGACCAAGAGGATGGACTTTGGGGGTGGAGTTGGAATGTCAGCTGCTATAGAGGTGGAAGAAGGCTGAGTCTGGGGCTGGTTGAGGAAAGGGTGGAGCTTATAGGTAAGGAGGCTATGAATCAGGTCAGGAAAATTATCAGTGATCAAGAGACCTAGATGAAGGGGTTAAAATTTCCTGATGGTATCAGTCTGTGTGGCCTGGAGAAATCTTTGCAAAGTTCACCCAGCATTTTAAGATTACAAAGAGGGAAAGGTTTGGGATACTGATGATACTGCAGGACGTATGTATAAGTGTAATCAGCCCGAATAAAGGCAAAAGAGTGAGGCTTTGAGAAAGGACCTCAGAATGAGATCATAGTGCTACTATGTAAGCAGACGGTATAATAGTGTGAGGAAGGACACTAGGATTTCAGCGAATTTGGGGCTAGGAGTGAACTGTAATGGTAGTTTCTATATCAGAAGAGTGTTAAGATTAGAAAAATACTTGAGGGAAAAAACCAGGAGACTAAATTGTGCCCTACAACTCCTTATATTTATGCTTGTTATACTTGTACTTATAATTAAACAACATTTAAACAGGTTTTCTTTAGACTTCTCAGAGTCTTTAAAATGACATTATTATTATTATTATTTTTTTTTTTTTTGTGGTACGCGGGCCTCTCACTGCTGTGGCCTCTCCCGTTGCGGAGCACAGGCTCCGGACGCGCAGGCTCAGCAGCCATGGCTCACGGGCCGAGCCGCTCCGCGGCATGTGGGATCTTACCGGACCGGGGCACAAACCTGTGTGCCCTGCATCGGCAGGCGGACTCTCAACCTCTGTGCCACCAGGGAAGCCCAAAATGACATTATTAACCTATTCATATCTCATAGAACACAGTTTGGGAAAGGCTGGTTTAACCTAATAAAAAAGGCACAACCAAATTCAACCATCATATATACATAACAAAAACACTGAAAGTAAGGAAAGTATTCCAAAAGGTCTACAATGAATGACTAGTTGAATTAATTTCTCTTATTCTTTTGTTTCCCATATTTACTCTATGGAGCCTTTACAAGGAACATGAGCTTAAAGAAAACAGTGGTGTAGTTGTAGGAGGCCATTTTGAAATTGGAGTTTTAAAAGTTATATAACCTTGGACAAGCTCTTTAACCTCATCAGGTCTGTTTTTTCATCTTCAAAATTGGAAAATGACACCCACCTAATGGGTATGCTGTGAGGATTAAATGGATTATGATATCCAAATCACTCAGCACAATGTCTGGCACATACTGTAGGAGCTAGAGATGAAGTAATTACCATTATTATTGAGTTGTTAGAGTTTTAGAGTTTAAGAAAGGAGCGCTGGTTCTGCTAAGGGCATTGGTCCACTCACTGTGATATCAGGGAAGCCAGAAAACACCATTATCTGAGTTTGTAGCTTACTTGTGAAGCAAATGATTCCAGAACCTGTTCCAGAATATAGAACAGGATTCCACTGGACACCTGGCAGGGAAGACTATGAATTCCCAACTGACTGAGAAACTTTTGTCTTGTGGTAGGCAGGCTATGAACACTGTGTACTGAAAACAAACAGACAAAAAATTTGCTAATTGCTTAGAACTAAATTTGATCATTGTATCAGAGAAAGGCATTTAACAACTTCCTTCTAAAATGCTCAAGATGCTCTGCTAAATGAAAAGAACTTGTGCTACACCCATGGTGCCTTTGACATTAAATATTCTGGCAACTTTACTGCTTCACAATCGATTCTTGGAAACTTGCTCCTTTAGATTCTTTGGAATTCTTAAATAACCTTTTCTGACTTCATTTATTTAAATATCCCAGAATAGCCTCTTGAGCTATAAGTTTGATGATCAAATACACTATTTTTAGCAGGAAGAGTGCTCTCTGTAACTGATGTTATGCTTCATTTTGAGAAGGACAAATTGTTCAAAAGATTGATAGAACCAATGGTATTTTAAACTGAAAGCAGTGCCAAGGCAAATAAGGCAGGTAGGTATGAAGTTGGAACACAAAAAGATAGGGATGTTTTTTGCCAGTTTAGCTAAAGGCTGGGGAGGCCTCGCACAAGATGGAAGGCAGAGACAGAGTCCACAACCCAGACGTAGTGATCTTCTAGGTAGTTTAGGCACTTCAGCCTAGGTCAGGCTTGTTACCCCAAAACTGGGTTCCCCTCTTGGTGGGTGTTGAGCCAAAAGACACAACCAAGCCAAAGATATGGAGAATGAAGGATTTATTACTTGAAGTTAGAAAGGAGAACACCGGGGATCTTTCCCAAAGCAGTGTCTCCCTGAACAGCAAAACTGGGGAAGTTTTAAGCCAAGAGTACGTGCATATCCATGAAAGGCCTTGTGTGGTATATGCATATTCATGAAGGGGCTTGAGCTGAGGAGATTTTTAACATTGAACTGGGACAAAGCTTTAGGTGATTAAAGCCACAAGTGTCAGAAAAGATCAACATCATTCCATCCTCCATCTGGGTGGGGGCCTTAGTTCCTGTAGAACTTGAAGATGTGTATCATATTATGTACATCCCTTGAGGAGGAACTAGGACTCTGTTTTATTGCTGAACTACTGTTTCTTGACTGCTTTTCCTTTGTTCCTGCATTCCCTCACTTCCCTTACGATCATTAATTACTGAGACCTGTTCAACGACAAGCATTGTGGCCAGGCTCAGATCAAAAAATGGCTTCGGCCAAATATGGCTTTTCTTACGTCAAGAAAGCCATGCCTGGTTCTCTTTCTCTGTGGACCCCCTACCCTATCTGTTTACAGACTGGCTTGTTTGTCCAGTGCTTAATACCCCAGAGTAGACAGATGGAGACAGGACTCTGTCATAGGTAAAGCCAGTAACATCTTTGGTGTTATTGATATCCTCCTAGGTGGGAGAAAAATAGAAGATAGAGGAAGGAAGGTCAAGTACAATTTTTCTTTACTTTTAAAATTGTGGTAAAATATACATAAGGAAACTTACCATTTTAACCATTTTAAAGTGTACAAATCAGTGGCATTATGTACATTCACATTGTTGTACAACCAGCACCACTATCCAACTCTAGGACTTTTTCATCATCCCAGACTAAAACTCTGTACCCATTAAACAGTAACTCTCCAATCCCTCCTACCAGCCAGCCCCTAGTGACCACTATTCTATTTTCTGTTTCTATGAATTTGCCTATTCTAGGCACCTTGTGTAAATGTAATTAGTCAATATTTGTTTTTTTTGTGTCTAGCTTGACTTAGCATGATGTTTTCAAGGTTCATCCATGTTGCATCGTGTTAGAATTTTGTTCCTTTTTAGGCTGCATAATATCCCATCATACGTATATACCACATCTTGAAAACACATTCATGCATCAGCGGACATTTGGGTTGTTTCCACCTTTTGGCTATTGTGAATAATGCTGTGAATATGGGTGTACAAGCATCTGTTTGTCCTTGTTCTATTTTTCAAAGGCTTTTTCTTCCTCCCTCCACACCTCCTATTACAGCCTCAGGGAGCACTCAGTGCTTGTTTTTGAAGACAAAAACAGGTTTGATTCAGCCAAAATGTGAGAACCGTGTGGTGATTAGCAAGTTTAAAGGCACCCAACGTGGGCTTTGGGCATTGCTCCTGGAGACTGAGGTACCTTCTTAGGCAGCAGGTGTGAAATAAAATTCATATTTTATGGCAAGACTAGAAAAATTTAAACAAAAAATTTTCTCTGCCCTTTCGCCTCCGCTCCCCCATTATGTGTGGACAAACTTGCCACCAGGTACTGGGACCCCATTTACCTGTCTAGCTACTCTTGTACTGGATTCAGGTTTTGTGAGGTTGAAGCTTATACAATGCTTAAGTATTTACAAAGTAAATACTTAGAATAAGACATCACATCAAATTACTGAAGACATGGAAATTCAGATTCCCTGTCTTCTATCTTTAAGCGATTTATCAGAAATGCTCATTACAAAGAGTTGCTTCCCGATTGACAGCTGGTTTCCGCTCCACAACTGGAAGCCACCATAACTCTCAGCAACTCCTTGCTCTTCCAGGTGCCCATGCAAGCGAGGGGTCCTGATGATTCGCTAGCTTCATTTCATCCTGCCACTTACCGGCTGGTCTGAACGTACCTAGGAGCATGTCATCCACCTCAGTGTCTCTTGCATCCAGCTCAAGACATGTGCTTAGAATGGGTTGGGGATTGAAAGGCTTAAGTGCCGTAGGCTCCTCAGTCTGATCTAAGGACAGGAGTGGTTTAGAAAACGGTGCGACGAGGCTGAACGAAAAAAACAAGGCGGTGGACTTGAGGGTGGAGTCCTCCCCTCCGCCGCAGAGGGCGCTGTCTTTGACTTTGACAGCGTTTTAGCTAAGACTGCCGAAGGCCGCGTTCCAACGGCGGCCTTCTCTACCCACCAACCTACCTCAAGGAGAGCAGATGAGAGACGCCTCTGGACTTTTAAGATTAGTTTGTGCTCCCATTTCCCAACACAAGGTGTGGCGTAGGAGGTGCCACAACCAGAACTTCCTTTGAGATAAAGAAAAAAACGGAAGTAGGACAAAAGCGCTTCCTCAGTATTTTGCCTCAAACCGGCTGTCCTACTTTTTTCTGGAAGGGGAGGTGCTCCACTGCTCTTTGCCGGCGCCCTTAGCGCGGCGGCTGGGTCCGTGTACATGCTCAATGGCCAACCCCGCCTCCCAACTGTCTTTCGCCGCCCCGTCCCAGGTTCTTGGGCCTGGGAGTGACGTACACGTGTACGTAACTGGGGGGCGGGGCCTCAGGAAGAAACGCGGCTGACCCGGAGTCTCGCGAGAACATTCCCTCTCAGTTCTCGCGCTGCTTCTTTACTCTCGTAGCGACGAGACCTTTCGAGATCTTCTCCGCCCCCGCTACCGGCGCCCAGGCTGCGGCCGCTGAGCCGGAGCCGGCCTGAGTAGTGTCCTCCGCTGCGGCCCTCCTTCTAACAACCTAGGCTCTTGTGTGGCCCTCCGCACGTCTCCCACTAGCCCCAGTTTCCTGGCCCACGCGGCCCGCTTTACGCGCGCCAGCCCCGCCGGGGTCCGTGTCTTGTCTTGCCGGCCGGACCCGGGCTCGAGCCTGAGCTGTAGCCGGCGCCATGTCGGTGGTGGGCATAGATCTGGGGTTCCAGAGCTGCTACGTCGCTGTAGCCCGCGCCGGCGGCATCGAAACGATCGCTAATGAATACAGCGACCGCTGCACGCCGTGAGTGTGGGCCAGGGTAGCCGCGTGCACTGGGGGTTGGGGGGTGGTGGGGAGGTAGCGCTTGCTCGGGTCTGTGACCCTCGCGGCTTGGGGAACGCGGGCCGGGCAGTCACCTCCGTTCCGAGCCGAGGCTCCGGTGGGTAGTGGACCCCCACTGCGTTTTAGGTCACTAGGGGCCGCGACCCCCCGTGTGGGTCTGCGCCAGGGGCGAGGCCTTTTTTCTGTGGCCCGCCGGCCGAGCGAGGGCTCCGAGTGGGTACTTGGACCAGCGGAGGCTGTGGGTAGGAGCTGGGGGGAAGGCAGGCCCGGGATGTGGGATGGACCGAGATTCTCTTTTAGAGGGCACATAATAGGCCCAGGGCGTACTGACGTCTCTAAAGCCCAGCACAGAGTTGGGAGCTTTGCACACAGCAGGAGCTTAATAAAAGTTTAATTGAACAGGTCTGGCGTCTGCCGGCAGGCGGTAAGACAGTGCAGAGACCGGAGTCCCACGTGAGTGGGGGGTGGGGTGGCGCCCGGAAGAGAGGGAGTCGGAGCACCAGAGATCTCCAGATAGGATTGGCGCGGAAAGATATCAGAAAAGGATTTAATAAAATCGATGCCTTTTGGATACCTTTTGCATTCGCTTTGGTTTTTCACGTCGCTTCAGTATATTGAACTGAATGTTGGGTCATTCTTTGCTGTCATTCTTTGCGCACCTATCCCTAACAGCGTTCCGCTTTCACTGTAATACATTCCAACCAGGGTGTTGGCTGCAATTGTTAATGAATGACTCAGGGGCTCACTTTGACTTTTAGAACCTATGGTAAGTTATGGAGCCAGTATAGACACAGCGCTAAGAAATCATGACTCACCCAGGTCTTTCCTTGGATAGGGTAAGAGTCTTGTACGTAGAGACACCTTTCAATCCATTGTCTTCCTCTTGGACAGAATCTCTTTAAGAAGTTTCTGTTATTTGCTAGGTTCTCATTGTGTCTCATTAAGGGCCTCTGTTTTAAGGCTCGTTTTTCACCCTACCTTTTGTTACACTTCTTGAGCAATTTCTGGCCAACTCGATTGCTCCCTATACCAGACTGATATTTGCTACCCAGAAGACTGACAACATTTCCCTTAAACTTATCAAATTTCTATCCCTTATTTTAGACGTAACCCATTTGCTTCCCGCAAAACCCATCCCAGATCCAAAACCACAGTTTGATGTTCCTTTCTCAATTTTATTTATAGTTTTTAACTAATGAGATATAATTCACATACCATGCAGTTAACCCTTTTAAAGTGTACAGTTTGTTTTTAGTGTAGACACAAAACTGTGCAACCATCAACACAATTTTAAAACATTTTCATCATCCCACAAGAGAAACCCTGTACTCATTAGCGGTCACAGCCCAATCCCCAACCCTCCCATCTTAATAGTTTTTAACAGTGGGTCTAATTTGTATTTCCAGGGAAGTGTATTGTACAATGAAGTTTTTAAGTATTTAAGCATTAATTTCCTATTTGTTATTTTCCTCTCTGGATCCTAGTTTGCTTCATCTGTAGAGAGAGTTTTCCTCAAGAAATTAAGAGGGCTAGAGCACTGAGTTAGGCATGTAACTTTTTGGTCTTTTCCCAGCTAGAATTGAACATACTTTAGCTCCAAAGGTAAGAGAATTCCAAATATTGGAATGAAGTGTTCCTGTCCTTTCTTTTAGACTCTTATGACCCCTTTTCTCCTTTAAACAAATAGTAACTACAGCAGTTTTACCATGAATCTCATTATTTGGAACTGAAAGAGTTGTTTCAGAAAAGAATTTAATCTTCCCAGATCACAGTTAAATTTGTCCCAAAGACTATTTGATGGGTGACCAGATACACCATGTAATTGTGATAAGAATATATGTTTAAATACTTAAAAGTAATTTTCCTTACATGTTCCTATATTTCCAGGAACTTAGAGGGATGCCATACATTCAAGTATTTTTTTTTTTCACCCCGGTACACGGGCCTCTCACTGTTGTGGCCTCTCCCGTTGCGGAGCACAGGCTCCGGAAGCGCAGGCTCATCGGTCATGGCTCACGGGCCCAGCCGCTCTGCGGCATGTGGGATCTTCCCGGACCAGGGAACGAACCCGTGTCCCCTGCATCGGCAGGCGGACTCTCAACCACTGCACCACCAGGGAAGCCCCCAAGTAGTTTTTGAACTGTGATCTCGATTAGCTTAGATTTCTGTGTTGGAGTCTTTGGCTAAGTAGAACATGGTGGGCAGAAAGGTTGATTTTTTTTTTTTTTTAAGTAGTAATTATGGAAGAATGGATTTATATCTCAGAGGTACACAGGGAATGTGAGATAGGTTTGTTTTAGTGTGAGAGTGGAATGAGATGCAGGTTCTGGAGGGCTGGGTATAGTGAAAGTAACTCATTTAAAATTGTGGGTGCAACAGGATTTGAATTCCATTTTTGAGGAGCCAGTTGAGCCTTACCTAGAAGAGACCCTTGCTTTCCCACCAAATTTAGGCTTCCTTTCATTTCAGCAGATAATGAGTAGCTTCTAATATGCCAGCTGTTGTGCTAAGCACTAAAGGTACTCTGATAAACAAGTAAGATCCTGCCATCATGGACATGGCTAGTGGAGAAAACCAGATGCTAAACAAATATGTAATTACTGACTGTGGTAAAGGTCCAGATGGGAAAGTACGGAAAGCAATGACGGGGACCTAATTTAAATTGGATATGGGGTGGTGATGGAAGGTGCTTCTTAAAGAAGTGTCATTTAAGATGAAACGCAGAGGATGAGTAGGGTTTTACCATGGAGGTTCGTGGTGGGAGCGAGGAAGAGTTGTTCCAGGCAGAAGGAATAGCAAGTGAGGAAGAACTGAGGCACACTTGACAGACTGAGAGGATTATAGCCACTTGAAAAAATGCTGTGAATTGAATCTGCAGAGAAGTTAGGCAAGACAGGTTAGATTATGGCAGGGCTTTGTAAATCATGTTAAAGATTTTTATCTAGGTGCTGTGGGAGGTGATCCAATTGATATTTTAAAGATGTGATTGGCTTTTTTATGGAGAACGAATTTATTTGAGAAGGGCAAGAGAAGAAGCCGGATGATGCTTAGGAGGATATTGCAATCATTTGGTCCACGTGGGAGTTTATGTTGCTCTCCACCAGTGTGGAAGCATGGGAGAAAAGTGTGGGCGGCTTAGAGATAAACTTTGGAGTTTTAACTTATGAGTGTCGTGTTGATATTTCATGACCATAGGCTTTGGAATAAGATGGAAAGCCTATTTTTATATTTAGTTGGATTATTACACTAGAAAGAGTACAACCTTAAAGCTTCTTTGGAATAAAAATGTTAACGGACTGCCAAACATTACAGGAGTTAATTGGGCCGTACTGTACAAAATTTATAGGGTAGATATGAGTTACCTAAGAAGATAATTTTGTGTATGAATAGTTATCATTTTCATGGACTTAGTTCCTCATAAAACAGTATATTAGGAATTTGAAGAGATGAAATTGTCTGTTAATAACTGCCCTTGGGAGCAAAAGCTGAAAGTAAGGTGGGTTCTGGCTAACTGGCAGATTAATATCTGATACCTTATTTGTGCAAGAAAAGTGTTCCTCTATGGAGTGAATATCTTTACACGTTGTAGATCTAAGCGCGTCAGGATGACTGGATCTTTTGGTTTCAGTGAATAGGAAAGTTGATTGGTTAACTAAAGCTTCAGATTGCTAACACTTCTCATGTCTAATTGAGGTTATCAAAGTAGTTTCTTAGACTCATTTAAGAACTAAAATACAACTTTGTATATAGAATTGGTAGGTGTAATCTACAGGAACTTTATGTCATCAGGTTCTAAATTGGGTTTCCTAAATTAAAACTTTTTCTGACTTCATAAACTACTTGTTTGCTTTAGCAACAACAACAAAAATAAAGTGCTAAGTAAAATTGTTTCTAATTATTTGCCGTTTGCTGTCTATCCTTGCATAACTTTTTCTAGACTTCTACAAATATATGTGGGGATGTGTGTGCCCATATAAACAAATAGGATCATACTATATTTTGTAATTATTTTCTTTCACTTATATTTTAGACATCTTTCAGAGTCAGTAAATATGAATTTACCTCCTTAAGTACATAATAGTCCATACTATGGCTTTAACATGCTTTCCTCAGATGTTCAGGTTGTTTCTAAATTTTTGCAATTAGAAATAGT